AAAAATTAAATGTTATTGTTTTTAAAAAAATTTTACTATAATAAAATTTAAATTAATAAAATGAATAAAATCTCAATATCTAACTCTGATCTGAAATTTTAGGGCCCGTTTAGTTCGTTGATTCGAGTTTTTAATTCGAGTTGAGATGTGATTTTATGTGAGAGTTTTTTACTGTAACAAAAAAGTTAGATGTGACTGTTTGTGAGAACTTTTTACTGTAGCAAAACTCGAATTCTAAACTCGAATCAGTGAAATGAACGGGCCAGTGTGTCTCAATGGAAGGGTTCCTTTTACAAGGCTTTGACGACTTCATCTCTTTTACACGTGGGATAAAGAGCTTTTCAGAACTTGCCCCGCCCATACTAATTTTTATGTATTACATATGTGTGTCCTCAGTGATATTAGTAATCAGTGTATGGGCTTTCTTTTTTAGGTGCTTTTGGTTTCGGCTTTTAAAAATTGATGGTTTGGACTTGTTCTTTTTTTTTTTTTTTTTTTTTTTTCTTTTTTTCCTCTTTCAAATATCATTTTGGTTTTGCTTTTGAATTGATTCTTTTGGATTCGTTTAGAAACGTTTTTTTTTTAAATAATTTTATTTTTAGTTTAAAAGTGAAAATAAGATTGTTTTAAAAATTATTTTAAGATCAATTTTAAAATTGTGTTTGATTGGATTTTTAAGAGATTGTTTTAAAAATAATAAAAAAATAAAATCATGTTTTGTTATAATTATTAATTAATATATTATAACATTGTTGATAAATATTATAAAATAAAAAGAGAAAAGAGAAAACAACTTTCAATCGTTTTCTAATTCATTCACAAAAATTATTCTCACTGTTTTTTGTTTTTGTTTTCGTTGTCAAAATATTTACTAAACAAACACGGTTTGCAGACTGTTTTTATTTTCGTACTTTAAAAGACGTGCAAAAACATTTTCAAAAACAAATCAAAAATCAATTCTAAACGTATCATTTGTTTTTGTTTTTTATTTTTCTTTTCATTTTTGACACGTAGATTGCTTTTAAGTCTCTTAACGTAATGATAAACTATTTTTATTCTTTTTCTTTTCCCATAACATTAAAATGTTTGCTGGTGCACATGCGTGTTTAATTCACAAACTTTCTTACAAGTTTGTTTCCCAAGTTTACAATGATCAATTACTGTCCTTTATAAGGTATACAAATTAATGTGATTCATAAAATGTTTTGAAATATTTTTGAATGGAAAATGTCTTATGTGCCCTCACTAAATTCAAATCCTACATCAGTCACTATAATCATCGTTTCCTATTTTGAGTATATGAATGTGTCATTTTAATCTCCTCGAAGCGGAGAATATAAATCCAAATTCAATCGTCACTAAGATGAAGTGTGTCCTATTCAAAATCGAACCTCAAAATGGCACCTTGAAAAGGGATTTCTAAGCCATTTTTTCAATAGATCTCACAATTTAAAATGTACAACATGGATTTGGTATGGCTTTCAACTAGGGGTGGCAATTCGTATCACGTGTTGCGTTTTGATCGTTTCTTTTTAAATTTACAGTCAACCCGAACACGACATGTAACACGAAATTTTTCAAAAACCGCAACACGAACATGACATGACCACTTTTATGGGTTGACACAACACGAAAATGACCCGTGATACGAAATTGACCCGTGAACCTGAAATTGACACGAAAATTATATACTTTTCTTTAGTTTTTTACATATTAGAAATAACTTAAAATTCATAACACACTAAAATATAATAACATCTATCAAAATTAAGTAAATAATAGTATAAGATTTTGAGTATAACTATCATGATATCACAAGTTCATAATAAAATCTAAAATATATAATGAAAAATATTTTTTTTTTAATTTTTTACGAGTATTTTTTTAATTTTTATGAGTTTCGTGTCGTGTTCGAGTTAGGCAGGTCCAACCTGAAATTGACCCATGTTTTTCATATCAATTTCAAGTCAACCCAATTCTGATCCAAACCTCTTTTTTCTCCACTTTAACTCATAAAATTCGTGTCATTTTCGAATCGTGTTGTCGTATCATGACCTATATTACCAACCTTACTTTCAACTCTATTACAAAATTATTCTTATTTATTCTATCTTATAAATAAGAAAACTCTCAACTTATAATTAGGATGGAGGAACTTACAACTAATTAGGTTGTCTTTACTCGTCCAATTTATTATACGTAGTAAAGCTCAAAATGGTATATTTGTTATATAGTACGATGTTAGAGTGCACTAGCGCTTTAATTTTCTTCTTTAGTTTTCCGAGTGTTTGCTAATAATTTATGAAGTTGTTGACAATTTGAAAGTTTGCTTTGTCACAATGGAATAGAGATGCATTGAATATATATATATATATATTACTACATCCTAACCACCATAACATTTCTTTGAAATGAGCAAACCAACAGACAAGTTTATTGAACAGATCCTTTAAATGCATTAATATATAAAGCCAAAGTTGGAACAATCTTCTTATGCAATGGGAAGTCCTCTTTCAAACAGAGGGAGAGGATGGAGGGGCTCACGTGACTGATGCTAAGAATTGAATGGGGGAGAAACAAATTGTCGTTTGCTAGCTGGTTTAGTATATGTTGTCGCTTTAGTACTATAGGAATTTTGTCGTTTTGAACGTCTAAAGGCCGATTGAAAGTTGAAACGGTGTGTTTTTCAGCTTCATTTTATTTCGCTTCCCCTAAAATACTTGCGAGTTGTTACCGACGGCCCAAAAGGATAGATGATGCCCGTTTCATAGAGTTTATGCTTTTACTTTTAGCAAGGAAAAACGACAATAAGCAATACAAACTGATTTTTAAATTTTATAATAAGCAATATAATTGTTAGAATTAAGTTTATAATGGTTTAATTAAATTTCAATACGAGTTTCAAAGTTGTGCTTTTTTAAAAGCCATATTTTCTGACTTTAATTTACGATTCTTCTAAAACGTCAAAGCAATTTTTACACAGATACTTTCAAAAACAATTTTTAGACCTAAGAAGTCAAAAGCAACTTTTAACAAGCACTCCCAAACAGGCCGATATTTGCATGCTTTTGAGACATCTCTCTTCTAAGAAATCCAAGTTTTATCTGCCTCTTCAAAGATTTGGAACAATTGCTGGCTCGATAATAATTTCTTGAAAGTTAGAAAAGATATATGTATATATCCACCTTTAATTAAGGGTTATAAAAACGGTTCATTTACAGTCAGCACTGTGATAGACATACAACATTTGTCTATTTATATTTCATCAAGTAATTATCTCTTTACATATTTACATGTCACATTTTAAATTCCCTTATTAAGGTCTATTTACAAGCGTTTTTAAAGTGATTATGTTTTGCATATAAAAATAAAAATGATTTTTTTTTTCTAAAGAATAATGCTGTCAGACCGTTTTTTAAAATATGTTTGATTTTTTTTTCTTAAAGAAATTGTTTTGAATCTAAAAAAGTAAAACCGTGTATGGTTTATGAAAATATACCTTTTGAGTATAGAACCTTTAAAAAATGAAAAAGAAAAGTGATACGACTTTGTAACGTTTTTTTATTCCTTGGCAAAAAAAAAAAAAAAAAAAAAAAAAAAAAAAAAAAGGGGGGGGGGTTTTATGACGGATTTCAAAGCATACCATCCATTTTCAAAAATACATTCTAGCTAACTAAACACTATTCAGAAACTGTTTCCAAATCAATTACACTGAGAAATACAAAAAGCTTTTTAAAAAACGGAACTAAATGGTCCCTAAATAAATTTGTATGATAATGTTAAGGATTAATTTTGTTGGTACTCCTAAACGTAGGGGTCATTCTCCTTTTATTTTTTAAATTTTGAAAACACTTATTTTGTTTTTTGAATGGTGAATTTGTTTCATTTTAAGTCTTTTTGTAAGAATTTTTGTTAAAATTAAAAGGAAAAAGAGATGGTTAAGTGTAATCATGTAGTTTTTATCTATTTATTTTTAATAAAAATTCAAACAGACGTAACTGTTTTGCTCTCTTTTTCTCTATCTGGTTTTGACCGAAATTACAATAGAAAGAAGTTGAATGAAAATAATTTAAAATTTAAGAAGTAAAGAGAAAGTTTTTAAAGATTAAGAGATAAATTTACAATGATCCTCAAATTCAGAGACTGCAATGATAATAATCCTAATTTCAAAATACAAATATATTAGAAGAAGTTGGTGATAATAATTGTACAAGATCACAAGTGACTGTCATTTTTGACAATTAAGTATTAGTATACTAATTAGGCGCAAGTAGAAACACGACAAACACAAAAATGAATGACAGTGAAGTCTTCCGATTGTTGTTTACATGATCAATAGAGTAAAAAGACAAAATCTCTATCCGCATTCGTATTAATAATTTAATTATCTGTGTTGTTTCTTTTGTGCCAGCTATAGATCACTGATTTTACAGAGAACGCCAAATATATATTTTGTCCCTTGGGCAGTTGGGCTTTCTTTTGATCATCTGTCCCTCGAAAGTGTCATGCATGCATTTTCTCTGCCAGCCGATGACTATCGCCGCGTCCACCAATCCACACACATTTCTTGTCTTAATCCCTCGCATGCACACCGACACGTACTCTCCTTACCTGTTTCCCTCGTACGGACTCCATCTCCAATTCTTGACAACTCCCACATCTGTATATATACATCTTCCTTTGTTCTGTATATGTGTAGAATATATTTATAAATTTATATATGTATATATATGTATTATGTATATAAACAAGACGATTATACATTAATACAATTTGTCTGTGTTCTCATTTCTCAATCACGTGAAGAGTAGGTGGGACGCGGTTACCCGTTTCTATCTCAACAGGACGCGTCAGCTTTTCCCATGCAGGCCACGAGTCACCTTGCATGTTTATCTGTTGTGACAAATGTACGTGCATGTCAAACCCTAGTCTCCTATAAATAGAATCATTACTTTACCACGTTTCTCACCAGCAAAAACCCACCCACACTCTACTCAAACATGGCGATCAAATCAAGTCTTCCTCTGTTCCTACTTCTCTCATCCCTTTTCGTTGCCTCTTTTGCTCTCTCTTACGACGAAGAAAATGATCAACACAGGATCAGTCCCCGCCAGGAGTACCAGCAATGCCAGAGCCGTTGCCAGGACCAACAGCTCCACGGCCAAGAACGACAACTCTGCCAGCACCGCTGCGAGCAACAGCTGAGAGAGCGCGAGCGGGAGCGCGAGCAATCCGAACACGGCGGTCGAGGCAGAGGAAGCAGGGAGAGCAAGGAACGAGAGCTTCGTGAGGAGTTCGAGCAGTGCAGGCAAGACTGCGAGCGCCGTGAGAAAGGGCAACAACAGCAACAACAGTGCCAAAGAAGGTGCCAGCAAGAGTACGAGGAGAGGCGGCGAGAGGAACAACAACGTGAAGAGAGAGAGCGTCGCCGACGACAAGAAGGCGGTCGGAGCGTGTACGACGAGGAAGAAAACGATTATCACAGGACCAGCCCTCGCCAGGAGTACCAGCAATGCCAGAGCCGTTGCCAGGACCAACAGCTCCACGGCCAAGAACGACAACTCTGCCAGCACCGCTGCGAGCAACAGCTGAGAGAGCGCGAGCGGGAGCGCGAGCAATCCGAACACGGCGGTCGAGGCGGAGGAAGCAGGGAGAGCAAGGAACGAGAGCTTCGTGAGGAGTTCGAGCAGTGCAGGCAAGACTGCGAGCGCCGTGAGAAAGGGCAACAACAGCAACAACAGTGCCAAAGAAGGTGCCAGCAAGAGTACGAGGAAAGGCAACGAGAGGAGCAACAACGAGAAGAGAGAGAGCGTCGCCGACGACAAGAAGGCGGTCGGAGCGTGTACGACGAGGAAGAAAACGATTATCACAGGACCAGCCCTCGCCAGGAGTACCAGCAATGCCAGAGCCGTTGCCAGGACCAACAGCTCCACGGCCAAGAACGACAACTTTGTCAGCACCGCTGCGAGCAACAGCTGAGAGAGCGCGAGCGGGAGCGCGAGCAATCCGAACACGGCGGTCGAGGCGGAGGAAGCAGGGAGAGCAAGGAACGGGAGCTTCGTGAGGAGTTCGAGCAGTGCAGGCAAGACTGCGAGCGCCGTGAGAAAGGGCAACAACAGCAACAACAGTGCCAAAGAAGGTGCCAGCAAGAGTACGAGGAAAGGCAACGAGAGGAGCAACAACGAGAAGAGAGAGAGCGTCGCCGACGACAAGAAGGCGGTCGGAGCGAGTACGAGGAGGTAGAGACCGCGTCGCGTGACCCGGAAGAGAAGTTTAGGCGGTGCCAGCAACGTTGCCAGGAACAACAACATGTCCAAGAGAGGAGAAGGGAGTGCCAACAGGAGTGTGAGAGGAAGTACAGAGAGGAGGAGAGGAGAGAGAGGAGGAGGAGAGATGATGATGACGATGAAGAGATGTATAACCCGGAGAGAGAGAGAGAGGGGGAGGAGAGAGAGAGGGAGATTAGTCCTAGGAGTGAAGGGGAGAACCCTTACCACTTCCGCTCTCATAGGCTGCAATCTAGGTATAGGACTGAGGAGGGTCATCTTAAGGTTCTTGAGATGTTGTCTAGGAGGTCTGAGCTGCTTAAGGGGCTTAAGAATTATAGGATAGTTGTCTTGGAGGCTAATCCCAATACCTTTGTTGTCCCACACCATTGTGATGCTGACTCCGTTTTGGTTGTCACAAGAGGTATAAGTTCTCTTCTGTTTTCTCCAAATATGATGATGATGATGATGATTAGTACTATATAGGTGTTGTTTTTTACTTTTTCTTAAGTTAAGACTGTCTCTTAATCGAACCTTTTGAATTTATACTAGGTTTTAAGGTTGATTATACGTTAATTTCTTATTTCTTAAAACCGTAAGAAAGATAACTAGTAGAAGTGACATATATGGCCGTCTTTTATTCTTCAAAAAAAAGGGACATATATGACGGGATATTTTTTATTATGGTGAAAAAATTAGAAGATTAATGCATATATGTATATTATTGCAGGAAAGGGAACAATCAGCATTGTGAGGCAAAACAACAAGGAATCGTACAACATTGAGCGTGCAGATGTGATCACTGTCCTTGCAGGGTCAACTGTCTACTTGGTCAACGACCAAAACGAGCCCTTGCAAATAACCAAGCTTGTCACCCCTGTCAACATCCCTGGCCAGTTTGAGGTACTTTTATACAATATCATTATTTTATAACCCAAATATATATATATATGTGTATGTATTTATGTATGTAAGTGTATATATATAAACGAATATATGTGGGTGTAGGAATACTATCCTGGTGGAGGAGAAAACCCACAATCATACTTCAAGGCATTCAGTACCAACATCCTCAAGAGCACACTCAGTGTATATATTTTCTTCTTCTATATTCTATTCTCTTTTCTAGTTAAATCAACTTTGGCTTATAATATGGTTTTTGCGTTTTGTTTACTTTACTTGCAGGCCACGGAAGAGCAAATCGAGAGGCTGATTGGAGAGCAGAGGGAAGGAAGAAGGCAACTTCAGAGGCCAGGCTTCATCAAGAGAGCCTCACAAGAGCAGCTCCAGGCCTTGACCCAACACGCTTCTTCGCCCAGACGAAAAGGCGGCCGTCAAACCACTGGCCCAATCAGTCTTCACAGCCTGAGTCCTACTTACTCAAACAACTACGGCAAGTTCTACGAGGCTACTCCTGAGGACAACAAGCAGCTCGAGGAAATGGACGTTCTCGTCGCCTGGACCGACCTCAAACAAGTAAAAAAAAAATCAAACACTTGAAACACTTTTTTTTTTTTTTAAAGTGTTTGATGAAATGTATGTTTGTATGTTGATCATTTTGTAGGGTTCGATTTTCGTGCCGCATTTCAACTCGAAGACTACTGTGCTGGTCATGGTGGTGGAAGGGGAAGGGCGCATGGAAATGGCCTGCCCTCATCTCGCCAGACAAAAGAGGCAACAATGGGGGGGACGAGAGGAGGAGGAAAAAGAAAGGCAAACTAGCACTTGGCAGTACCAGAAGGTGACCTCCCATCTCTCGGCCGGCGATGTTTTCATCATCCCGGCGGGTCATCCTATCTCCGTCGTGGCCTCCAGTAATCAGAATCTGAGGATGGTCGGGTTCGGAGTCAATGCCAGGAACAACGAGAGAACCTTCATCGCCGGTAAATTTCGTCATCTACAAGTTGGAATAAAATTTATTAACTTTAGGACAAAAACCATGAGTTTTAGATGTCAAAAATTAAAATTTACAAGTTGGAATAAAATTTATAACTTTAAACAAAAATCATAAGGTTTTAGATATCAAAAATTAAAAATATTCAAGAGGATATATTTTGCGCAAAAATCGTACGTCATTATGTATAATGACATGAATGGATTGCGGCGAATTTACAAGAGTGAACTTTTTAACTTTTGTCAAACTCTGAAAAGTAGAAACGCCATTTTAATAGCAAAAGTTGGTCAATTAATTTCTTTCTGATGCAGGGAAAGACAACGTGATCAAGCAGTTGGAGAGGGAAGCCAAAGAGCTGGCCTTCAACATGCCGGGGAGAGAAGTGGAGCAGATATTCAACAAGCCCAAGTTGTCATATTTCGTGCCCCAGGAGAGCCAAGAGGAAGAGAGTCGTCAAAGCCACCCCCTGAACTCAATTTTGAACTTGGCCGGATTTGCCTGAGCAGTTTGAAATGCTTTGTGAATAAGCATGTAAAACAAGACTTGTATGTTTTTTTTTTTTTTTAATAATTGACTTGTACGTTAGTTTTCCTTATATGTACGTACTTCTCATCATGATAAGTGGGCCCGGACTTTTGTATGTAGCTGTGCAAGAGGAAAGCTGTAGCTTTCTACACCATAAATAAATAAAAATAGAGGCTTATATATGTATTTCTACCCTAGTACAATCGTTTATATACACTTGAATGTTTCCATTTTGGCATTCTTAAACAAACGTGGCACTTCTAGACAAATTATACAAACAAGTCAGAATTCTAGACATGTTGTGCGCATTGAGAGCTTGTAATTTCTAAATATTCCATGCTAAGAAGGAAAGAATCAAAAGATCAAAAACTCCCTTTTAAGATTAGTAGCTCTCATATATGAAGAAAGAATGAGTGAAATAGTTTTAAATATTATTAAAAACCTAAAAATATCCTTACATCTCCCTTAAGACTTAAAAAAAAAACTTAACTGCTGTCTGGTTCTGTTTTTCACGTTTTTTAAGAATCAATGGTTCTGTTTCCGTTTTTTACGTTTTTTAAGAATCAAAAATTGAAAATGCCGTTTGGCAGCATTTTTTGAAAAACAGAAAATGAAAACGTTTTTTTTACTTTATTCTTAAAAACTCAACAAAATTAAAAAGAAAACGTTTTTTTTACTTTATTCTTAAAAATTCAACAAAATTCCCCCCCCCCCCACACACACCCAAGCTGTAATCGTAATATAAGCCCCAAGTCGCAACTTGCTCTTCTTCTTCTTCTTTCAATTCCAAGCTATAATCGAATCTCAATAAAAAAATCAACTCAAATTCCTCTGCCTCCCCCCCCGGCCGCACCAGTCTCCGCATTTTCTCCCGGCTCGACCTCACTGTCCCTAACCACCCCCTCCTCATCTAGAAATGGGTTTTCATTTTTTCTTGTTTCAGACCTTGTTTTTGGGTTGATTGATGAGGTAAGGAAATGAGTTGATATGTTTATTTAATATATTATTAGTTTAAATATTATTACATGTTTTTAAAAATTAAACTACCAAACACAATTTTAGTTTTTTTAAAACTGAAAACAATCTCAGAATAAAACTACCAAACGCATTTTCAGAAATGATTTCAAAATGAAAATAAAAACGTTTTCGTTTTCATTTTCATACAAAAAACAAAAACGTTTTGGAACCAATTCCAAACGCACCCTAATATCCTTTCATCTCCCTAAAAAACTGTAACCAATTGTCACCGACTGAAGAACTAATCGCCAAAAATCGAAGAAGAACTGATCGCTCAAAAATTGAAAAAATATGACGCCTCGTGGAACTGAAGATAGTTGGTTTAATTAACCAATTGAACTATTTCAAAGGCGGTTTAATTTTGGTTTTGGGTTTAGAGGTACGGTTAAAAACTAAACTGACCGAGTCATAAGTTTTTTTTAATGTTGTTTTTTACTTTCATTCTTCTTTCTACTATCGTTTTTCCTCCCTTCTAATCTCCTTTTGACACCCAACTCTCACTCTCTTCATTTCATCTATTTACTCACATAATCTCTCGGTGATTTAGTCAAAAAATGCAACTAAAAATGTTGGTAACCTGATGGTTTACTGAGGGCTACCTTCCTAATTACCAAAATTGAAAATCGACTAAAAACTGACTGAAAACTGAAGTTGATTAACTGAACCGACTACTCCCTTGTGCAATTCAATTTCAGTGCACAATTTTAGAAAACTGAAATAGTCAGTTCAACCACCGAACTGACTAAAATTGACAATTTTTAACTGAGGAACAACCCCTCCCTTTCACTCCCTATCACTTCTCTCTTCTTTTTCCTATAGTCAAATTCACCACTAGTTGTTTTCTGGCAGCCGTCTTTAACGATCGGTAAATATCATATCATTAGATAAATATCGTATTTACTATATTTGTTTAAAAATTCAGTGACTGGTTTCAGTGACCCACAAATATTGTGTTCACTGGTAAATACTATATTTAGTAGTAAATACCGTATTTACCACATTTATTTAAAAAATTCAACGATTGCTCCGGCGACTAATAAAGGCGTTTGGTTGATAGATTTAGAATCATAATTCAGAATCATTCTTGATTTACGTGTATTTTTTGTAAGAAAAAATATTATATCGAGTTACGAACTATGATTTGAATCATGACATCAATCTTTGAACCAAACACACATTTATTGATTACTACTATAAAACAAAAATTCAGTGAAGTTACTTTATCGTATTTACACTGAAATAAGTAAACTTAACATAAAAAAAAATAATAATAATAAACCAAACTATCAAATTTCTAAGGTCCCGTTAATTTTACTAATTCGAGTTTTGAATTTGAGTTTTGTTACAGTAAAAAATTCTCAGTAACAGTCACATCTAATTTTTTTATTATAATAAAAAATTCTCATATAAAATTATATCTCAATTTAAATTAATAAACTAAACATACCGTAAATTAAAAACTGAACCACATCATTCACACACAAAAAAAAAAAATTCACAAAACTCAAACTAGATCTGGTCCAAACAAATTCACGTTCATCAGTCTTATTCTCCGGCCGAACCACGTCTTCTCCGGCGAAGTCTTCCTCTTCGGTCGAATCATGTGTTCTCCGACCAAGTCTCTCTCTCCGGGCGAACTCCATCTTCTCCGGTCAAGTCTTCTTCTCTTCTCCATTACTGTGCGACGATGAGCTTCAACCTTCGATTCGTAACGACGACGAGCCACACTACAAGCTTCGATATTCGATTCATGACGCCGCTGCCCGTGTCCGCCATTCCCGATCGTGACTCGCGGTTCCGGGATTCTGCAGATCGTGAGTAGAGAGATGGTAGCGATGGACTCCTTGTCGCGATGTTCGCTCGGGAGCTGGGATCGCGAAACTCGGAGATGGAAGCACCGGAACTCCGACCTCCGACAACAACCGAATAGCCCTACACCGATGATCTTCGTCGCCGCCGTGATCCTTGTCGCCACCGAGCACAGAGAGGAGAATCGGAGGAGGATGAGAGAGAGAGAGAGAGAGAGAGAGAGAGAGAGAGAGTGACTGAGAGTGAGAGGCGGCTGTGTTTGAAAAAAAAAAAGAAAAAGAAACGCTACCAGAGAAGGGTAAATTTGGAAATCAGCATTTTTTTTCGTATGGAATTTCAAAATATGTTATAATTTACTAATATTAAAAACATTTTCTATAAATACAATAGTATGTTTAAATTATGTTATTTGCTATATTTTCCCAAAAAAAGGTGTATCAAGACCAAGTGGATTATCAAAGATACACTTAGCAATAGGTCCCAAAATCTTGTTAGTGTTAGTTTTCTCACCCCTCTTCTTTTCCCTTTTCTCTCTAACTAGGGCTGTTCATGGATTGAGTTGGTGCGGGGTAGGACTTTTTTTCCCCCGCCCCATAGGGTGCGGGTTACACATATTTAGCCCCAACGATGTTAGAATTTTTTCACAACCCAACGATGTTCGGGTTGGGTTGGGGCGGTGCGGGGTGGGTTGGGTGGTCGGTTTCAACATTTAAAAAATTAAAAACTTAAAGTTCAATCTAACATTCAAAGTTCATAATCAAATAGAAATAACAACCATTCTTATGAGTTATGAGTCCATCTAACATCAAACATGTAGCAAAGCAGTCCATCCAACATCAAATATAAAGCAAACATAAATTTGTCTACACTCATAAATTAGTCTTAACATAAAGCAAACATAGATGCTTAATTCAAATCCATCTAAAGCAAGCATTGCAACAGCAACAATCCTTATCAGTCCACACCCATAAGCTCCTCAATGGTTGTAGTAGGACATGAAGTTGAGTTATCTACAAGAGAAATGAAAATAACTTAAGTAATAATTTGGATAGTTAGTTTAGACATGTGTTGTGCGGGTTGGGTTGCGGGTTGCGGGTTGTTATGGGCCCAACCCACAACCCGCCCCAAACACTTCGGGCCAGAGGTATAATAGGCCGAAAATTAAAAAATAATGCTGCGGGTTGCTTTTTTCGGGTTGGGTTGGGGCGGTGCGGGGTGGGTTTACGGGTTGTTCGGGTTTATGAACACCCCTATCTCTAACCAAACAAGTATTTGGATCCTTTAAAAAATAAACAAAGAAAGAACATTTAACATAGAAAATATGGTTAAGCAGGACGGTACATAGATATCATGCGTGGAGATGTCAAATTACACTACGTGAGATTTATTAACTAAATGTAACTTGTATCTTGTATTCAGTTTAATTATTCTTTCCTTGTTTCTCAATAGTCGTTCTTGCTTCTTCAGAATGTTCGTATTAGTCTTGTGCTTGCTATCTATGGTTTTTTTAAATTATTATATTTCGTACTAAGGCTTCTTTTATTTATTTATTTCTTTTAAATGATGTACTAATGCTTTACTGATCACTAAAAGAAATTATAAAACGAACAATTAACAACTAAAAATAATAAATAAATGTAAAAAAAAAAAAAAAAAAACCAGCACTGGTAAAGAGCAACAATGCAAATATTAATTTACTTATAAAAAAAGAATAATGCAACGAATTATTGTGTCAAAAATAAAAATGATTGAAAATTGAAAGGTTTTAATTTGGGAAAATAGCCTACACCGGTATATTAACAAGCTTCATATCATTACCGTATCAGAAATTTGGAAAAAAGGGATTTCTTTCCAAGGTAGATCATCAAATTTTTTGAATTTTGAAAATTAGTTCATCCTTTGAAAATTTGAACAAGGGGGTTTTCAAACTCTCATTTCCTTGACATTTGGTTCCCCAATTGAAAATTTGCAACTTGATGTTTCGTTCATAGATTCAAAATTATGCTTCATAATCATTCTCGATTTACGTATATTTTTTATGAGATAAAACACTATAACGAGTCACGAATCATGATACGAATCCTCATACCAAACAATAGATTCCCGAAATCCTCTTTTCTTGTTCATGTCCCCAAGTTTTTATTTTTATTATATTTTTTACTGAAAGGTCCCAAAACCTTATTATATTTAACATTGATGAGATGAAGGAAGTTTACGCCACAGGTCTCCAAACTGAGGTTCTCATTTAAAAGTTCTATCATTTAGGTCCTCTAACTTGCATTTTCTTTACAATCGTCAGTGCCCCGTTAGTTTTTCCGTTAAATGCCTTGAAACTTGACAGGAAGCAAACAAACCAAAATCCAACCACTGAGACACCCAAAAAAAAAAAAAAAAAAAAAGCTTGTCCCTCAAGTCACCCAAATATTTCCTTGGTTTCTTCCTTCGAACTCCACAGTAGATTCCTTGCCCAAAGCAAAATTCAAGGGTTAAAATGAGATTTACAGTAAAATTTAGGGATCATTTATAGCATTAATTATATATTTTTTTAAACCTTTTACAATATATGTAATGGAAGCATGGTTTAATTTAATATAGTTTAATACATGCTAGTGTTTGTTTATCTTATCAGGGACACAAGTTTATAATGGTTAAAAAAAAAAAGCCGTCATATCCTTTTTCAGACTATTTTTTTTTGTCGTTTATTCTAACGAAGGAACATGTTCTACGTGCAAACGCAGGCTTGTTGTCGTTTTCTGTAACAATATGTCGTATATCCGAAAAATTTTATAAAAGAAACCACATTTTGTTCTGTCTACGGAACAGACAAATAAACGACAGGTCGTTATCGAATTAATGTCGTATCGTTTTATATTAAAGGTCTTTTCCATGGGCTAAATTGTCTATTAGAGAAAATCTCTCGTTGCCTAAGTGTTAGAGCTTCAGAGGACGACGCATCTTTTTCCGATAAAAGTTAAAGTAGACGAAAATACGTGTCGTTTAAAATGTAAAACGACATATATTTAAGGATGAAAATATATCCAACAGTAGAATGCAAAACTGATAGCAACCAAACAGACCCCCTAAATCCATCCCCACACACACACACACACACACAACAAAAAAAAAAAAAAAAAAAGGGACTTGTCCCTCAAGTCGCCCAAATATTTCGCCGATTTCTTCCAACTCCACAGTAGAAGAAGGGAAAACACTCTTGCCCAAAGCATCTAGAGAGAGAAACAGGAGGAGAGAGAGAGAGAGATCAAGAAGAAGAAGAAGAAGATAATCATGGAGTGCGTGTTCGGACTGGTCGGAAACGGATTCGCGGTGGTGGCGGCGGACACATCGGCGGTGCACAGCATTCTTGTCCACAAGTCCAACGAGGACAAGATTATGGTCCTCGATTCCCACAAGCTCATCGCCGCCAGCGGCGAGTCCGGCGACAGGTCCGTCCTCTCATTGGATTTTCCCAGGGATCTTCTTTTTTTTTCCCTCTTTTTGATTTGGAAAATTTGATTGCATAGTTGTGTTTGTGTGTTTGGGAAATTAGGGTTCAATTTACTGAGTACATACAGAAAAACGTGGCCTTGTACCAGTTCCGTAACGGGATTCCCCTGACCACCGCCGCCGCCGCTAACTTTACCCGGGGCGAGCTCGCCACTGCTCTACGAAAGGTATTTGATTAATTTTGCTTTTCATTTTCTTGATTAGTTTTTTTTTTTTTTTTTTTGGATATTAATTTCTAGGTTTTGTATTATGTTTCTTGCTTAGAATCGTTAGTTCTCTGGCGGGTTTAACCGTATGGACATTCTAGGGTTTTGTTTTCCTTTTTAGATTGTTGGGAGATTGGAAATATGTGTTTTTGTTCTTTTAGGTGCAATGATGTGGAAATGAATGACCTTTGAAACTGTGGTTTGAATTTCGTGACAATGTGGATAATTTCCTGATTGGTTTTATGGAGATTAGGGAAAAATCCGATCGGCTTTGCGTTTGATCTATGTTTCCTGCTTCTGTTAAGTATTGTGATGTGGGATTGCTAATATAGTCAGGCAAGGAAATTTGCGAGGTTTTGGTTCTAGAGAGACTGTGTACTTATATGTTACACTATAACCCTTTGCTCTTAGAACTAGTTTAGCCTGTCCGCGATTTCATTGGCTTGAATTCCTTGTGTTACATGGGAAGACCGTGTTGAAATTAGAAATGCGTTTACTTAATATCTAGCACTTTTCTGGTTCCTATGTTGTTTTTTCTGTTTTTGATTTAGTGCTGTTGGTTAATGGTGATCTTTTGTTAATTAGGGCTTTAGGTATAAATGCTCTTATTTCCTTTCTTTGTAAACTTAGATTCTGTCCAACTAAGAAAGCGATGTTTTGCCATGTGTCAAAACAAGCCGCATAATAAATTTTTCTGAAGGTGAATGTGTAGAAAAGTTGAGCCACTTTTATACTCTTTTAAATGTGTGGTTATTCATTGTTCTTTCAGTGTATGATTGATTTATGAGTTTTCCTTTGACTTTTGAGGATATTTGTAATTGCTGAGCAATTGGACTAGAAACTTTTTAAAATGTCCTCTTGTTTCACTGTTGAGACTCTAATCGTCATAAGTCTCAACATCTTGATTTAAGTATCAACTCTATAGTAGAGCTGCATTTTGAATATTGAGCAACTTAGGCCATGAACGTTGAGAGATGACATGTGTAATTGGATGTCTGTTCTGTAGTATTTTCTTATTAATTGTGTCCATGGTCCTATAGAATTTTTCATTGGTGGAAATTCGTCATCAGTTTAGGGTCCTGAAGTAGATACCAAATAGCTTTTCGATGCTCGTACTTGTCTTTTATACAACCCTACCATAACTGGGTTTTACCTAACTTGTCTGACTACATTTCAAATTTGTTCAGAACCCCTACTTCGTGAATATCCTTTTGGCTGGCTACGACAAGGAGACGGGCCCATCACTCTACTACATCGACTACATTGCCTCACTCCACAAGGTTGAGAAGGGAGCATTCGGTTATGGGTCCTACTTTTCGCTCTCCATGATGGACAGACACTACCATACTGGGATGTCATTAGAAGAAGCAATCAATTTGATTGATAAATGCATAATTGAGATTCGATCCAGGCTGGTTGTGGCGCCACCAAACTTTGTGATCAAGATTGTTGACAAGGATGGAGCAAGGCAGTATGCCTGGCGTGAATCCATCAAGGATGCTAGTGCTGTTCCTACGGCTTGAGACTTTAGCGTTATCACCAGACTTTCTTTTGTTATCTCATTTTTAATGTTCTGGGTGCTTATTTTAAACGGCGAACAAAAAGGAACTGATATCTTTGTCTAAACTAAAATGCCGAAAAGTAACTTTGTTTTTGTTGGAATTTCTGATTATGCTGAAGTAGTTGAAATCTGGGTGAGTTGTTGAATATTTAGAAGTGGAAGCATCATTAGTTGTTCCTATCTGATAATAACTTAAGTTATTCATAAGTTATTCGTTAGTTGTTCACTTACCAATAAATGAACTGAGAATTACAATTCTCCAAATAATTAAATAAAAGAGAGTTACTTCTCATATTGGGAATTACTTATATTGAAGAAAGGATTTGGAAAAAGGAAAGGAAGAGTATTGAAGAAAGGATTTGAAAAAGAGTAATCTTAACGAATACAGGAGTTTTATTTTTACTCTTGATTCATAATTTTTTTAGTTAAATAATTATACTAATAAAAGGATATTTATTAAAAATAAAGGATAAATGTTTAGATACATGTATTTTTAAAGGTAAATTCTCTACTCTTAAAGATAAATTTTTTATTTTTTAAAACCGAAATCGAAAAGAACATCCAATCCATTTTTTTAAAGGAAAAGGAAAAGAACATCCAATCGGGTCAATCTCACATGACGATGTACTTTGCATTTTGTGTTAAAATTTCCAATAAAACGAAATAAAGTTCTATTCCAATTTGTGTTTTTGCATTTTGTGGGCGAACTATATCACAAGGCTTTTTTAAAAGTCGATTAAACTTGTTCCAAAAGTACCGTTTCTTCTTAAAAATGATAACAAATTAACAACTATACTAGAACAATACATATACACCTATCTGAAAGAATAATGGAAGTAACCGCTTTGATACTAATTGTGAAGTTGAAAAAGGAATAGAAAGCATGAAAATTCAAAAATGCCAATTATGTACCTAAAGGTATAAATATGAAGCACTCTTTACTTTCAAGAAAGAAAAAAAATTAAGGAATCTTTTTCTTTGTTAGTTGAAGTATGTTTTAAAAGAAGTAATATTTCGTATGTAAGTTTTTTTTAACCAATGTTTTATATAAGTTAAAGAAGTATTTCTATGATAGGTGATCTATTCAACATGGAAACTAACAGTTCATAATTGTACAGTACCAATAAGATATTTTTAAGAAGGAAAATTGTATCGCATGTTTATAGAATTAGTAGATTTTTTTTTAAGGTAAAATTTTAATCAACTAAAAGATCTTGGAGACACCAATAATAATGGGAATAACCATGTGGTATATAATACAAGACACTCGATAAAAATTGGTTCATCAATAAATTCTGATGAATTATAAGGAAGACGATGCAAGACTAGACCCGATATCAAAAAAATTCCTCGACACATCAATTTGAGCACACTTAAGACTATTTTTAAAACCACTACAATCGATGGAAGCTTTCGATCCCTTGAGAGCATGTAACATGTAGCTCTAAGGCCACCAACATTTTCACCTAGACTCATAACTGACGAAACTTCTAACCCGCAAAGACCTAAATTTGACATTTTACCCATTAAAGAAATTAATTTAGAGTTCTATTGAGGACATAAAAGACATTTTAAATTCCAAAAAATAGAACCGAGCATGCTATTTGGAAAGGATGCGTTCATTGACCTTTGATCATACTTTTCACTCACCATTTTTTAATAGAAATTTTTATTATTAATTTATCCATTAATAAAATTACCTTTAAGGATGATGATAATTTAAAAAATACTCATTACAAACTCCACCATAAATTATGTTTTTCTTTCCTATTGGATATTGCATTAATTAGTTGAGTCAAATATCACTGTTATTATTTTAGAATATTATTATTTATTTTTTCTCAACTATTTTACTTATTTATTGAAAGGAAATATATACACTAATTATTACTTGAAACAAAATACGTAATGCAAGACCTTTCAAAAGATTAAGTAATGCAGAGATGCTATTCTTCAACTAATGAAGATTAATAAGGCTCTTTATATTTCATGCCCGTTTGTTGTTCTTTTTTTTTTTTCCCCAGAATTTTGTCTGTGTTTTTTCATTTTATTTTTCTTTACTTTCTTTTTCAATTGTTCGTATTGTTAATAGCTTAGTTGATAATAAGGTTAATCTTGCAATGTACTGCATTGTATTGGTTCTTTCTATCAATTTTCGATTTGTAATTTGCCATTTACATATCTATATCCTTCAACAACGATAGTAAAAAGATGAAATTAATATATAAATGAACGATATATATACAAGTAAAAAATTAACGTATCATATGAAAAAATAAAAAAATAAAAAAGATAAAAGATAAATTTAATTTGTAGGAGAGTGAAAAAAAAAAATACAATTGAGTTGCAGGGACATTTTTAAACTTTTAAGAAGGGGGTAATAAATAAAATAAGAGGTGGTTTAAAAATATGTGTGAAAAATAGAACATGAGTAATTTAGTTGTAGGAATTTTTTAAAATTTTAATAAGAGTATAATAAAAGTAGTTTAGGGGTGATTTAAGTATGTATATGTAAAATAAAAAAAGTGGATGTTAATAGACGCCTATTTAAAAAATATATTTTAAAAGGGCAAAATACAAAGCACCAATTTAGCATTATTCAAACATTGAGGGATTATTCCACAAACTTAATAAAACACATGGTACCAAAATATAATTTTTTTTCTTTCAAAGAATGAATTTGGAACAACTGCTAATTGGCCCTTCCTCTAAGTTAAATAAACCCCAACAAATTCCATTATAAAGAACAACCGCCAAAATTTTCTTTTATTTTACACTAAATTAAAAAATTATTTTTATTTATATTTTTTATCTTTATTACGCCAAACACCGTTTTGAAAACGTTTTTATTTTTTCTTAAAAAACGTAAAAAACAAAAATAATATCAATTCGGAACCAAAAACGTTTTTGGTTTGGTTTTGCTTTGGTCTACTGAGGTACTAAACCTAGTGCTGAAACTTTGAACGAGCCGCTCACGACCGCCGAAAAGTCAGAATTTTTATCCGATTACCGAGCCCGAACTGCCTGAATTTTTGGGCTGCCTGACCCGACCCGAATTTCACCTTGGACGGGCATCGGGCAGCCTTTGGCTGCCTGTTACCCGACCGAAAATGCCTGAAAATTTTTAATAATATATATACATATATATTACAATTTGAAATTTAAAATGAACACACGAACTATATAAAAAAAATTATTTATTTATTAATTTTTAAATTTGTAATTCATGATTGTCTCGTTATAAACCTTACCAAGAAAAACCCAATTGAGATAAAAACATGATAAGGAAAAAAGAGTGCAATCATTGTGGGACGAATTACAAATTTGACGAACTTACAAAGTCTATACAAGATTACAATAACACTATACAAATTACAAAGTAATAAATATTTACAAATTACAATAATAAAATTTAATTTGAAGCAGAAGGATCGTCTTGAAAATTAAAAGTTAATCTATTAAATTCGTCTATCCATTCTTGGCTTGCCGGTAAGATTGTATCGTGTAAGCGTTGATCGGAACGATCCCAATCCTTGATGCACACCAAAGCTTCAACAATATCTTGTTGCAAAGCGTTTCTTTGTTCTTTAAGTATTCGGCCGGTTGTACTGAATGCTTGTTCGGCTGCAACACTGGAGACGGGGATCGAAAAAATATCCATTGCCAGTCGTGATAGGATCGGCCAAGTTAATGCTCGTGCCCTCCACCACTGAACCAAATCAAACATTTCACTATTGTCTACAACTAAGCCCTCACTCAGGTACGCCATTAACTCGTTGAAGTCGCCGCTATTGCTGCCACCTCTTGATGAAGATCCACTCTCAGATTATTCTTGACCTTGAGTCGTCGCCGTCTTCTTCTTCTTAGACAACCAGAAAACATTCAAGAATGAATGCGGATTGTCATCTCGTTGTTGCGGTTCTTCTACACAAGGTGTGTTTCTAAGCCTACTTTCATAAGAGCTATAAAGAGAAAATATTTTTTCCTTTATAATAGGGAATTGGTCAATAATGTCGATAGCTAAAAAGTCACCTAAGTTATTTAATCCACTTTCTAAACCATCTAATTTTAATCTAGGGTCGAAAATAACACCGAAACCATACAACATTGGTAATTTAGACCAATATTTTTTAAACTTCTTTTCCATAGAGGCAATAGAAACTCCTAAAACCTCGTGTGTCCTAAATTCACTAAATAAAATAGACATTCTTAAAAGTTCTCCTAACGCTAATGGTGACGTTGGGTAATAAGTTCCACTAAGCGTTAAAGTAACTTCGTGAAATCTACCTAAAAAGTTAAACAAGAGTTCGGCAATTTGCCAATCAGTTTCATCTATAAATCCTGCTCGTAATTTTACACTAACATAATTTGTTATAGCATCTTTATAGGGGATGTATTGTTCAAGCATTATATAAGTGGGGTTCCATCTTATGGGCATATCTAAGGCTAATGCTCTAGGATTTTGATTACATGCTTGCAGAAATATAAACCAATCTTGTATTCGTTGATTACTACCTTGAATCCAAACAATGTTATCTCTAATTCTTTTAATATGACCTGACATTAATTTTAAACTGGATTTTACTATTAAATTAATTATATGACATGCACAACGTTGGTGAAATATATCATTATTACCGGATAAACTTAAATCATTTTCAAAAAGTTCTATTGCTTTAGTATTTGCAGTTGCATTATTTAATGTTATGACCATTATTATATCTCTTAAACTATATTCATCAATGACAGATAAAATTGTGTTATATATTAAATTGGCAGTGTGTGATCCTATAACACATTGCGTCCACGACCTCTAGTACGTCCACTAGGGCTCGGATTTGTAGTTTTCTCAGCAACTCTTTTCGTAGTTTGCAATTCCTGCGTTTGAAAAACATTAAGAAATTACACTTCTTCGATGTTGAATTGGGCATCAATGAGAATATCACCACCATAACCAGAAGAAGCCATTATGAAAAATAAGAGAGATTGAGAGCGCTTTGAGAGAGATTAAGAGAGATCGAGAGAGATTTAAGCAAGATTAAGAGAGATTTGAGAGAGATTATGAGAGATATGAGAGAGATTGAGAGAAATTAAGAGAGAATGAGAGTTTTTGAGTGAGGACAATGGTTGGGGGAGGGGGGTATTTATAGGAAATTTTTTGGCTCGAAAAAAAAATGTTTCCCCCAAAAATTCGGTTCCAACGACTAAGTGGAATTCGGTCATTCGAGTCGGGTATAGGGCAAAATCGGGTAACGGTCAAAAAAATAGCCATTGGGGTTTGAAAATTCGGGCGGCGGTCGGGCCGGGCAAAAAAGATCCGTTGGGTTCAAATTTGGGCTAACGGTCAAAAATTTCGGGCAACGGGCAAAATTCGGGCTAACGGTCAAAAAAAATCGGGCAAAATTCGAGTTACGCGGAAAAATTTTAAAAAAAATTCAGCGGGCGGCGAGATCGACTTCTCCACTGGCGGCGGGCAGCCGGAATGAATTTTTTTCGGACTGTCCGAGTCCGTATCCAACCAAAATACTCAGATGGGCGGTGAATGACACCTTTTCATCGTGCCCAAAAATTTTCAGACATCAGACGTGCCCACTGTCCGAAGTTTCACCACTCTAAACCCAAAAGCAATCAAACTGTTATCGTGTCCACGCTGCTTTTGCTTCTTTTTTTTTTTATTTTTTTTTTCCATCACTTTCACTTTCACTTTTTGTTATGTTTTGTTTCTATCGTTTGTAACAACGTAGGACAACAAGTTGGCAACCACTACTGACCGGAAAATGCAGATGCTATTTTGTCCTTTTTCTGTTCTGGGAAATGCTTCAAAGTGAATGTATAATCCAATCAAATAATGCATTTTTCCAATCAATTTCGAGTCCTGAAAAAAAAAAAGGCGATATCTTTGATGCGTTTTAGCCTCAAAAATCGTAGTTTTAGTTCGTAAGTAGTGAAGGGTCACTCCTCCTTTTTCTCTCTTTCGTAGATCATTTTTGTTTTTTGTGCTCTCTTTCTCTCTCTCAGGAATCGGCCGATTGAGATTTCAGCCAAAGGTTTGATTTTTTCGTCTCAGATTTTAAGTTCTCTTTTCTGGGTTTATCTCCAGATTCAAAATCTTTATTTATTTATTTTTATTATTTTGTAGTTTTATTGGTTCTTTATTTTCTATATCTTCAGTGTGGATTTTGAGTTTAAGCTAAGCGTTTAAACCTGCGATTTTGAATCTGTTATAATATTTTTTCCTCATAAAAAATTTAAATTTCAAACGCGAACGCATAAATCAAACTGGCCTAAATTATCCCTACATTGTTTCTTTGTTTGTGTTTGTATTCTGAAACCTTGATATGCTTACAAATGAAATCCCCATTATTCTACAATGTTTCATTTTTTTTTTTTTGGTCAAAGCTTGCGAGTCACAAACACAAAAGTAACTCTCACTTGCCGGTGGAAGATAATTAATGTCAATTGGCAGAAATTTTACTTCATTTATTTGTCATTGTAAGAAAAGCTGAATAATAGTCTTTTCTTAATCCATTTAAAGTTCTTTTCAAGTTATTTTTTCCTTCTTTGCTGTTTTAGTTTCTGAATAATGAAAGGTAACTTTGGATTCTTCCTCTCTTCATTGAACTCATTTTCTGCCTCTCTCTTAATCTGCATTGAACCCTTTTTCACTCTCTCTCTCTCTCTCTCTCTCACGAATCACGTCTTTGATATTTGATCCAGGGTAGTATTTGACTGTCTCTATTGTTACCGTTTCTTTGATGAATTTGTCTCTAAACATTATCTTGTGCTTTCATTTTATCTGGTAATTTGCTTTTTTATTGGCTAGTGGTCTAGTTTGCAATGATTCATTATTGTTGTGCCTTGAAACCTTGATATGTTACTTGTTTCCCCTTATTTAAAATGTTTTGGATCATGGATTTATTGGGTTATTCTTTATTTTTGATCTTCCTGTTGTTCCAAATTTCTTTTCTTGACTTGTTCATTCCACCGATTCGAGTTTTTAGTGTTAAATTTCAAAAAAACTCTCAGAAAATATCACATTTAACTTTTTCTGCTACAGTTAAAAACTCTAAAAAACTGTCACATCTCAGCTTGAATTGAAAACTTGAATCTGCGAAATGAACGAGGCTTGTTTTCTTTCATTTGTTGCCAATGTAGTCGTTGAATTAGTGCCCTTGTTAGTTTTTTGCTGTGAATTGAACACTTATTAGTTGAAAGTTGAAACTCATTTAGTTCTTTTCTTTTGACCATGGCAGTTTCTGTTGAGTGATGGGTACAGTATATAAAGACTCGGGGGAGGAATGTTCCGTCATTGGAGAGAAAGGAGAAATCGGGTTTATCGACTATGAAGATGACAGGTCAGTTTGTAGTTACAACACAGTTGAAGAGGGTCCGATCATTATTTCGGTTCCCTTCCCTTTTGTTAATGGGAAGCCTCAGTCAATAGTTGTTGGAGAAAGAGTTAAAGATAAAATAACGATAAAGAACACAACCAAGGAACCAGTGGAACTATGGGGTGTGAAAATATACGCCTCGAATCCAGAAAACAGTTTCACAGTTTCTCTTATGGAGCCTCCACAATCAGATTCAGACGTCGAAGCCTTGAGGGCGTTCCTCGAGTCTTATTCATTGGAAGACAGGGTGCTTCAGCCTGGTGAGACTCTGACTGTGTGGCTCTCCTGCAAACCGAAAGAAGCTTGTTTGCAGACTTCAGCAGTGCATTTTGAGCTCGAGAATGAAACAATTGAAAGGGTGGTTTTTCTCTTGGCGGATGATAAGATCTCGCAGTCATTGGCTTCGAGGAATCCCTACTCAAGAGGCACCAGAAAGAAGAAGCAGTTTTCTGTGGATACATTTGTGACAGCTCCACGTCCTTCAAGGGGAAGGAAGCGTCAACAAGTCAGAAATCGGCTTCCGCGATATGACATTCCAAAGGAGATTAGAGAACTGCTTGAGAACAAGCAGATACCTGATGCTGTCCTAGAGGGTCTTAGGAATAGTGGAAACTATATTCCTTACTTTAAAAATTTGCTTATCATGGAAGAATTGCAACTGGAGGTACCTCTCTTTATTTTGATAGATGTAATAGCAAATCTGCCCTTTTTTTGATTGCCAAAACTTGGTTTGTTGTCAATTCAGGAAGACATGAGGACGTATAACATGGAAGGTGTCACTTTCAGGAGGAGGGCAAACCAGTTTTTGTCACTTGAAGTCCCCGGGCTTGCTGAAAGAAGACCGTCGCTTGTTCATGGGGATTCTATTTTTGCTAAGCTTGCCTCTGAATGCAGAGATGAGACAAGAACTCCCCCATATCAGGTTAGGTATTTCCAAACAATTGATGTGTTTTAATATACTGAACTACCTAGCCGCTTGTATTATATTTGCACGTTCTTTTAACCTGGCCACGCGGATTATCTCATCAAATTCTTTTCTTGTGTAGTCCTATTGAAGAGAGAAGTTTGAAGTTTACTCTACCTTTTCCTTGAACTAAAATTATCTTTTTTCTCTGTAAAACATTCATTATGCCCTTGATGGCAACTAAGGGAATTGGTTGCTTACAAACGAGATAAAAAGATTACTCCATTATTTCATATTTATGACTTCAGATTTCTTTTAATCCAAAATGAAGGGTTGTATCCACCGAGTTGAAGCCGACGAAGTGTATTTGAAGTTTGCTCCAGAATTCCATTTGTGCCACACAGGTGGTAATGTCTACAATGTACAGTTTACATACAACCGAGTGAACATGAGAAGATTATATCAAGCAGTTGATGCTTGCGAACAGTTAGAAAAAGGATTCTTGTTTCCATTCGAGGCCAATGAAAGGAGGCAGATTATAATGAAGCCACTGGTACCTATATCTTGTGCTCTTAACGAGGAGCAGACACATTCAATTCAAATGATCCTTGGCTGCAAAGGGATGCCACCTTATGTGATTCATGGTCCTCCAGGTACAGGCAAGACTATGACACTAGTGGAAGCAATCCTCCAGCTCTACACAAGCAGGAAACATGCTCGGATTCTCGTGTGCGCTCCTTCTAATAGCGCGGCAGACCACATCCTGGAGAAACTCCTCAATGAGGAAGCTATAAATTTTCAACAGAATGAAATATTCAGGCTTAATGCATCTTCACGTTCTTGTGAAGATATGAACCCTGAATTTGTTCCCTTCTGCTTCTTTGAAGATGATATCTTCAAGTATCCTCCACTTGAGGCCCTCTTGGAATTTAAAATTATCGTTTCAACTTACATGAGTGCCTCTCAACTTTATTCGGAAGGTATTAAGCGAGGCCACTTTACTCACATATTCTTGGACGAGGCTGGCCAAGCTTCGGAACCGGAAACAATGATCTCCGTGGCCAACCTCTGCAAAAGGAATACTGTTGTAGTGCTTGCTGGAGATCCTCTGCAGTTGGGTCCAGTTATATACTCTAAAGAAGCAGAAACTTATGGATTGGGGAAATCATATTTGGAGAGGGTTTTTGAATTTGAGTTCTACAGCGACATGGATGAGAACTATATAACAAAATTGGTTAGAAATTATAGGTGTCATCCCCAAATTTTGCATCTCCCCTCATTACTGTTCTATGAAGGAGAATTGATTGCATGTAAAGATGGCACAAGCTCCTTCATGGAAAATGTGGATTTCCTTCCAGACAGAGAATTCCCGGTACTTTTCTATGGCATCCAAGGCTGTGACGAGAGGGAAGGAAATAATCCCTCATGGTTTAACCGGTTTGAGGCGAGCAGAGTAGTGGATACAATAAGGAGACTGATGAAAAATGGGGATTTGCATGACAAAGACATCGGAGTGATAACACCTTACAGGCAACAAGTTCTCAAAATAAAGACAGCTCTTGAAAATTTGGGCATGCCTGATATAAAAGTTGGAAGCGTGGAGCAATTTCAAGGACAAGAGAAACAAGTTATTATAATATCTACTGTCCGATCAACAATAAAGCACAATGAATTTGACAAAAATCATTGTTTGGGATTTTTGACAAATCCGAGAAGGTTTAATGTGGCTATTACGCGTGCGATATCTTTGCTAGTCATAATTGGAAATCCGTTTATTATCTGTAAGGTATGTCTTTTCTTCTTACTGGCTTGCACCTTAATACTGATTCTTCAACAACATTATTCTTGCAATGCATGTTTCTTAGTTGAAGCATATTGATCAGTGTAGTTAATTAAAAAAAAAAAAACACACAAACACACAGAATATATTGCACTTGCGATTCTTTTGCATTCATCATTGTACACTGTGTCATGAGCTAAAATCTTCACCTCCGAACTGGAGGAAGTTTTCCATTCAAAACTACTTTTCTGCACCTGGTTTCTTGGTGTGTCATTGTTTGGGTGTTAAGACTGGCAATCAAAAACATTATAGTATCACTTCCTACGTTTCTCATGACTAGATTCTTTATAGTACATGTGTTACCGTAAATCTCGGTCTCCCTACTCTCTCTCTCTCTCCCACCCAGCGCTGCTGCCGCTCCCCCACCCCCACCTTTTTTTTAAATTTTGTCAGGGCTGGTGAAGCTTAATACTTAACTTTGAACTTTTGATCCAATTGTTAAAATCCATTTATTTTCTGTTCATCACTCCAATACTGACTAGCATCGTGTTATTGGGTTTTCTTCTTCATGGCAAATCGAATCTTCCTCACATCATTATTGTGTCAAGTTTTCTCTAACTCCCCTGTTTTTTTTTTTTTTAATTTTTAATTTTGTTATTTATTTATTTTTGGTGCAGGATAAACACTGGAACATGCTTTTATGGCTCTGTATAGACAGCAACTCATACCAAGGTTGTGCCCCTCCTGAAAGGCAAGAAGTTGTTGATGAGGAGCCCTCACAGGAATACGGGTATGGACCCCTTGAAGGTGCTGATTGGGGTGAAGGGTCCTCAAGCACCGAATTTCCTAAACATACTGACTGGGGTGAAGAGTCATCGCACGCCGAAATTCCTGAACCTACTGACTGGGGTGATGAAAAGTCCTTCCAAGTAGAAATTCCCAAACCTGTTACAGAAGAAGCTGAATGGTCCGATGGATGGAAGTAGTTTGCTTAGTATCTCTCTTTTGTTGGGGTGGAATGGAAAACAGTTTGATGTTTGCTTCTTACATATAGGCACACGTATGTTTTTATTATTATTATTATTATTATTATTATTTTAATTTTTTTAATAGTAGATGATGAACGTTTCTTTATTTATAGCAGAATGTCACAGCAGTTGTTCCAAAGAAGTTGGTACAGTACCTGAACCATTTTGCATATGCAATGAAAGGTTGCTGATTTAGAAAAGTTACTTAAGCTTTGCCCTACAAAGATTTTCCATGTTCTTGCTCTTTCTTCGATATGTACCGAAAGAAATAACACATTTGTTGCTAAAAATTCAACTTTCACTTCTCTCAAAATTAGGCAGAAAGTAGGGAAAAGGGAAAAGAATGTAATCTCATTAGACTTTAATTTGCTTGATCCAAACAATACATGGCAATGATAGGCAACATTGTCTGTAATTGTTGTGTACAAAAAGAAGAGTATAACTCCCAATCAACTAGGCAAGACAAGTAAAGATAAGAAAAGGGGAAACCAGAATGCTTGTATGGAACCCAAAATCTACTGCTCTTTAATTGATTAGCTGCTGACGGAAATGCGGAAATGGGATCGACTGCAGGTGACCTCGGTTGTGTTGGCGGTCTCTTGGCAAGTTGTCGCGGCGGGCTTGATTTCGTGCTAGAGTTCTTCGAATCTGGTGGCGAGCTTGGTGGTGGGGTTGAGTTATTAGATTCTGGTGGCAAACCCATTAAAGGGGATGGTTGGCTACTAGGAGCTGCAAAATAACAAATCCAAATTTAACTAATCAGTGGACATTACCATTAAGAATTGATCATATGCATCAAGAATCAAGATCATAATGACAATGGGAACTATCCAAAAGCACTCGAATGGACAATTACAATCAGAATTTTGCCGAAGCAAATAGTTTTCTTAATGTTGAAAGATAATTTGCCGGGAAAATATACCAGAATCAGGAGGGTTTGAAATATCTGAATCGGGAGATATTGCTTCAGCATCATTCCCTGTTGGATAACAAATTTCAAATTATCATTCCACAAGAAAAGAAAAAAACCAAAAAAAAAAAAATATAAAAAGAGCAAGAAATGTTAAGTTCTACAAAGTCCTGTTCAAAAACTTGTTTTTAGGAAATCAAGAAAAGGAAGAGGGTTAGATCAAGAACCAGAGCAAAGCGCCTGCAGGGATGGATTCCTCTGGGGGCAAAGGGAAGGCAGAGAGAGAACTTTGCTCTCGTCCAGCGGAAACCCTAACATCCGAGGCTGACGGAGAAGGAAACAGAGGCAGAAGCCGCTGGCGGAGTTCAACGTCGTCGAGAACGCGTCGCAGCACTTGGACGGGACCTCGCCGGAGAGGTTGTTCGGCGGAGACGAAACGAAGGAAAGGCACGGTGAGAACATCACCAAGTCGTTGACGCAGTCTGACGTCGGAGGAGTTGAGGGCGGCACCAGCTCCGGCGGTGGCGCTGTTGCTGAGTGGAGGAGCACCGAGATCGCGAGCAGCGATATAGCAGGTGACCACGGAGAGTACGCCGGAGAAGCCATCGCCGTGGTCTTTTGTCGCCGTTGATTCTTTAGAGAGAGAGAGGGGGGAAGAGAAAGAGGAGAGAGAGAGGGAAGAGAGAGAGGAGAGAGAGAGAGAGAGTCTCGTCGGAGTCCGGTAACTGACAGTTACAGATATGGTGTTCATATAATGGTGAATGGCGGGAAACTTAAAGCTGATATACCCAAAATACCCTTCGTGGTTTTATTTTTTTTTAATTTTGACATTAAAAGGACACAAATTTTTATGTCTTGAAGCAAAATTTTCAAGGGTTTGATAAATCAGAAAACCCAGCAGATTCATTGTGTTGTTTTTAAAAAAACAAACGAACCCTCTCCAAAAGTATAATTAATATTTGTTTTGCTATTTTCCCTAACAAAAAATGTATTGGGTATTTATTGGGTATTTATTGGGTTTGTTCTTTAGCCATCATGTTTTTCTTTTCTTTTTTTAATATTGTTTTTATTTTTCCAAGGAAAAATTGTAGCTAGTAATTTGGTTTTTAGTCTTTATAGTAATAAATAATTTTTTTTACTTTAATTGTTAATAAATAGCATTTTTAATTTTCAAATAAGATTTGAAAAGGTAAAAAATTAATTAATTACCTAAAAAATTAATAAATATCATGCAATTGAAGATATATATATATATATATTATTTGAGACTTTATTAGAGTGAATTTGGTAAATAATGAATTTATCAAATTTGAACGTGAGGTAAATTCTGTAAATCCTAAATTTATTAAATTTAGTTATAGGATAAATTTAAGTAAGTCCTGGATTTATTTTAATTTATTAACTTATCAAAATTATATCACTTATTTTTTTCTCTGCAAAAAAAAAATGGAGGGCCATTTACCTCCTAATTCTTAATTAGAAGTGGAGTTTTTGCTGATTAACTCAATTCAATATTAGTTCAAAAATAATTCTTTCTCAAGGAAAGGAAGAAGTACTTATTACAGTAAAGGCATTTCTATTTTCATACATATCATCCAACATGACTTAAGTGGTCCAAAGTAGAGTCCAACAAAATAATCACACACCACCAAAAGAATTCCTCAAACTAGAAAACAAACAAAAGATGCTATTACAACAAAGGCATTGCCATTCTAACAAACGATCACCCAAAAGCAATACTTGTAAATCCCCAAAGAATCTCTAAAATAATCTTCAAATCACTAGATATGATGTGGTCCATAATGTGATAGCAAACCTAGTAGAACATGATCACTGACCCCCCCATTGCCAAGAGCAAAACAGAGGCTGAGAGGCCATAAGAAGGCGCTGCAGCCGACGGAGTCAGCGATGAGCGGCTTCCTGTAGTTTCTGTTGGAGTGTTGGTGCCTCCTGTTGTTGATGGAGGAGTTAAGAGTGGTGTCGTGTCGGATTCGGGGGAGAGTGCGGGCGAAATGGGGTCGGGGACAGCAGAGGCTGCTCAAGAAAAGAAGAGATTAAAAATTGCACATGATAAGTAGGAATGAATCAGATTGGAACTATTAGAGATGAGATGGCAATGCTAAAATTTTACCTGCAGGACTAGTAGGAGTAGCAGATGGTGAAGCTCCAGGAGAGAGAGTTGGCCCAAGAAATGCAGGACCTGCCAATAACAAAGAAAGTAAAAAAAAAAAAAAAAAAAAAGAGGCACAAGGGGGAGAAATACATATGATAATAATAAAATTTATCATTTTTAATGTGTCATTATAATTTTTTTTAATTGTCTTTAACTTATTTATCTCTAACAAGTTAACTTGTAGTTTTTTAATGTTTCATGATACACTTTTTTTTTCATTGGTAAGGATATTCAAAATAACATGTTTACCTGGGGCAGGAAGTGGTGCACCAGTTGCTGCAAAACGAAGAGAATTTTGACAGATTAGTACACATATGTGGAAGGCAATAGAGAAAATTAGTTGTTAAACATGTTATATCTGATCCAATTATATACGTATATGAATGAATGTGTTTGACAAATTTTACATTTGCACTGGACAGGGACGCCGGGCATGTTGCAGGCTCTAGGGAGGGAGATGGCGAGGGTACGGTTGATCGGGACTTGGAAAGGAACGCTTCCGGTGGCAATGAGGCACAGGCAATCCATTCCTGAGCCGGTCATAGTTTTAAGAGCATTGCAACAGTCTGAAGTTGGGGAAGTGCCGTTGGCACTGCTATTTGTCACAAAGTTTATGCAAGGCCTGAAGCTAGAAATCATCGAGGCGTTGCAGGGCGTGCTAATTTGGGCGCACGCGGGCATGATTAGGACTGCGGCCACGGCTAGCAAAGCCGTTACAAGGCGGGGAAAGGGCTTTGGGAGCTCCATCTGGAGTGGCTTTGTGAGGTTTAAGAATTGGTTTTTGTGTGTAGAAGTTAGTTGTAAGATGTCTAGAAGACAGGCATGATTAGGACCGCGGCCACGGCTAGCAAAGCCGTTACAAGGCGGGGAAAGGGCTTTGGGAGCTGCATCTGGAGTGGCTTTGTGAGATTTAAGAATTGGTTTTTGTGTGTAGAAGTTAGTTGTAAGATGTCTAGAAGTATTCTTTTTTTTCTTTTTTTGGTTGTGGTTTGGAGAGGAGAGAATAAGGGGATTTTTATAGATGGAAGGACTAAAGAGGAGAAGTGGAGACAAATATTGGTGCTTAGGTGGAAATTGGAATGAAGTTGGTTTTGGAGCTCAACTACTATTAAACAAACTCAAGTGAAAGAGAGGCTTATAATGGCATCTAGTGACATTTGGTGGGGCCCATTTTGGCTGATCTTGTGCTTTGGGTACATCCTAGAAAGGTGTCGTGTCACTTTGTGGTTGGTCAAGAGCTAGAGTTGGAAACTAATAATTCATTTGCCTTGAGACTACTGAAGTTATTTTTGGAGTTGGATCATTATTTTACATTATCAGAATTTGTCTAACAAAGTCTTGGACTTTTGGGTTCCCCCATGTGGGTTGAATTTCCACTCCTATTGCTTGTTCTTTCGCTAGTCTAGAGTTCTTAAATTGTTGAACTAACCAAAAGGGCTGACAGAGAAGCAATCCAAGAATACCAAACCTAAAGTAGTTTCAATTAAGTTAATGATGATTCCACCAGCTCCTTAATCTCAACCACAAATCCTTGGAAGAATTTCTTTTACAACACTATTAGAAAAGAATTTCATGAATATCATTGGTTTTGATGATTTTCTTTTGTGCCGCTGCAATCTTAGTAATTACCATAATAATTTGACATAATTACAAATAGTCATTATTAAGTCATTACATTGGTAACTATTTAAATTACTAGAATGATATAACATGATAGTAATAATAAATAAATAAAATCAATGCTATGAAATACCTTTTTTTAAGTGGCACATTAAAAGTTAACTTGTGGTATTTCATCATTCTCCCTGTAGGGAATTCAATTGAAATTTGGTTACATGAAATGTCACTTAGCATCTTTAATGGGGTTTTAGGCAGGTAATTCCATATGATTAAGAAGATCGGTAAGATTACTTAAGCATGAATTATCAAGTCAAATAAAGCCCTTTACCCCCTTGAAATGGCACGTTGCGTCATCATTATAACAAGTGCAAAAAACAACCTCATGTAGCATTTTCTAGTTTACCAAATACACCTTTGGAAAGCTTTGAAAAC